CCCCAAAACCCCAAAACCCCTTCACTTGCAATTTAAGGAAATCCTAAGGGAATCATTATTTATAAAATTAAGATTAATTTCAGCTTTATTATTAAATAGTTTGTCCTGTACCAACAGATTTTACCTTATTATTATTAGATTTATTAGATTTTAATCCTTTTTATATTGATATCCGTCTGCCAGATAGCATGAAGCTAATATTTACTCTGGAGCTATTGATGGATTTTTCATTATCCTAATAAGTTGTATATTTACTATTATAAATGTTATTAGCACTTGATCGGAAGTCCATTATCTGATTGAAGGTTGTTTCAATTATTTCTTGAGATTTTCTGTTTGCTCCTTGAGTGTTCATACTCGTTGTGTTGCTGCTATCTATCTTAAACTGCTCTTTAAGCTTATATGTTGGTAGATAATACCTTTTAGCAAGTCTACCTTTATTTTTAATAGTAAAGGCATTTTCCATGAAAACTTTGGTATGATCTTCTTATCTGTAGAGTGTATTTATGTGTGGTTTTGATAACTCAGCTATACTCTACGTTTCCTATTCTTTTGTTATAGCTTCTTTAAAACCTTATCTGTGCTCTAATTAGTACTTGCTAAAATTTGAAATACTACTTAGTCTACTCTAAGTATTCAGCTATGTCCAAGGTCGTTTACTGTTATTCCCATCGTCTTAAGAATACTTTCTCCTGTTTAGAAATGTACTTGGCTGCAAATATTTATTTTAAAACACAGCGGATGAAGTGTTAGCATCAATGTTGCTTTAATCAATTAGCTCACTCACCTTAATCATATTTTGATCTTAATAATCTGACACTAGTTTTTCAGGAGTTTAATTCAACGATTAATTATTACTATTTAAATGACTATTAACTTTATGATATATTCTCGGGCTATTTAAAGCACTTTTTACTTCTCTAGTCAATGGAAAAGCCAACTGATTTTTCATAATACCTTTATTTGGCATATTATAAATGTTCTGTTCTGACGATTAATCATTCAACAAATACTTGTTAAAAATAGCAGGTGACTTACTGCGTAGCTATTTTTCATCAATATGAAATCTCACTTATTTTAGTTCTGTATTATTCATATTACTCTTAATTTCGTGTCTATTTCTATTTGATAATTATTCAGACTCTTCATCCTCTTGATATCTGTTCGTTTTTATGAAATTCTTTTACTGGGATTTTAGCCTATTCCTGAGAGTATATTTATTAAAAATTGAGTCTCCATTTGGATCGGGTTAAGACACTGCTAAAAATTTGTTTCTAAAGTTATTTTGGGCTGAGGATGTTGCTTATGAATGTACTTTACCTACATTTTATATTGCTTCTTCGTAAGCATCAATGTTGCTATTATTCATATAGATTCTTCGATTTGCTTTTTATATATCCATTAGGCGGACAGTTTTCCAATTTTTCCTTTCTTAATATGTTTACTCAAGATTAAGTATAAATTCTTTTGGTAGCTTGCTTTTTAAATCATTTAGAGAAATCTCGAAGGCTTTTACTTATGTTTAAGCCAAAACTGAATAATTGAATATTTAGGGATTCTCATCCTATTTTAAGATCTAACTATTAACTAGAGCAATGTCTTATGCTACCCAATCACCAGAAGAAATTGTTCCTATTCTAAACTAATTAACTGTTTTAGACATGTATCCTTTTTTAGTCATTGCAGCTCTCTTTATACTCGACACATCTCCATAAATACTAACCTCAGACATAATTGGGTTTTTATTAGAAACAATTAAGCAAGTCCCATCCTGAATAATGTAAGCATTTTGTTAGATAGTATTTTCCTTAACTAAACAGGTTCCAACTGGAAATATCTTCTCTTTAAATGCTCTAGCGATTCTGTCCCTTTTAAGCCTTGATATTACATCAAATCCTGTTATTGTAGTATTTAAAAAGGCAAGCATCTGTTTATAATTTTGATTATCGTTTAATCTCTCCATTAATTCCTGTAATTTGTTGCAGTCTAGCTCCATTAGAATGCAATCTGATTCAGCATAGATTACACTTCGATCCCAACTAGATCCTGCTATTGCATGAAAATTCCCAAAACATTCTCCATTTTAATGCCTTATTATTTTTTATTCTCTAATCATAATATTAAGGACATCTTCATATTTAGTACAACTTTTAGTTTTATCAACAAACTCGAAGTCTAATTTAACTGAAGAGTCGAATTCATAATCATTCAGAGCCACGCACTGATGCTAATGTATGATATGAGCCTTTTTCTTAAATGATGTTCTTTGCATTCCTTTTTGCTATTACTTTTATTTAATTTATTAAAGAGTCAATAAGTTTTGTTCTTGATAAACTTAGATTGCATCACCTTCCACAATGATATAGATATTGACCATATTTTACGGTGTCGAAAAATCAATAATAATTTAGTCTTTTGGAACTCTTCTAATTACAATTTCCCTTATAATCTCATTTTTAATCTGGTTAGGCATTTCACTAAGTTCGAAGGAGGCTTCCTTGAGAATAATTTTCATTGCATTTATTTAGTCCTCTTTTAATTGCTTTGCTCCATTTTCTTCTATGAATTATGATAATTTCAGAAGGTTTTTAGCCTTATTTATTCTATCTATATAAATATTGAATGCTATAATCTGATGTAACTACCTTACGACTGCTTAGACCTCGGTCTAGTTTTTACCGTGAGTAAATCCATGTTTTACATCTCTAAATAAATTTATTAATACTTTAGTAAATTTTATCATCTTTACTTTAATTATCTTAACTCGATGGGGTTTTGGGGTTTTGGGGTTTTGGGG